GGCTACAACTGAGCTCTTCATAACCTTCCCGCCCTGCAGCCTCCCCCTACCTCAGCCTTCCCTGCCAGGTCCTCAGTAAAAGTATGAGAAATATATCAATAATTGAAATTAGATTTTCTGCTCAAGTAATGTCCATTCAAATCTGATGTCACCTCCACAACTAACTAACTAACTAACTAACTAACTAACTAACTAACTAACTTGAAGAGGGCAGAGTTGCCATTCCCAACCCCAGACTGTACAAAAGGCCCTGCCTGAAAGGAAGACTCCAGAAGGAGGCAAAGGAACCTGTACACCTTAAGGCAGTCCTCTCCTTTTCGTCAGGAGTCAGGCAGTGACAAGCATATCCACCAGGGGGCAGCATCTGCCGCTTTCCAGCCTTTCCTGGGAGCTGGGACTTGGTTTCGGAAGGGCTGCCTCTGAAAGGGCCCTTGGTAGGGGAGGAGAGTGCCTATGACGGCCATCCCCCTCCCGCCCCCGAAAAAGAGGTAGGTTGTGTTTTATCCATCTTACTGTTGATGAAACATGGGATTTGAAAAAACGGGTCTGTGATTCTGAAGCTAACAGCTGTGCCTTGGAATCCACTCCCCCACCCCATTTCTCCTATTCATTTAACACTTGGTTCAGTCTTTAGCATGTCTTTGCTAAGTCACCAATGTGCTGGATGTTTAGGAGGCAAGGATGTTCTCAGGGCCCCAGTCATGGCCTGAAAGGTTGCCAGTTGGATTCCTGGCCAGGGCACGTACCCAGGTTTTGGGTTCAGTCCCTGGCTGGGGAGGCAATTAAATGTTTCTCTCTCGCATAAATGTTTTTCTCTCTCTAAAAGAATAAAAATTTAAAAATCAATAAAAGCACATATTAAAAAATAGGATGTCCTCAGCCACTTCCTAGGAAGCTCCATCCATTCCCTCCCTTCCCTCCTCCACAGCATGGACTGTTATGAGGAAGGGACCTGGAATGTCTAAGCCCCTCATCACATGCTGGGGAAACAGGCTCCTGGGCGGGATGTGGTTGGGGGGGAGGCAATGGTCTACTAGTGAGGGGCAGAACTCATGATGACTCTCAGCCCCGGGTTTCAGCCTGCCCGGCTTCGAGGCGGGCCTCTCTCTCCAGTGTCATCCCCGCCCCTAGCCTCTGTTTTGCTCTAAGAAGTGTCCCTCACCCCCTTCCCCCTCAGTAAAGACCTGTGAGTTCAATACTATTCAGACCTTGCCAAGAATGTTCAACTTGCCGGGGACTGGTTTGACTCAGTGGATAGAGTGTCAACCTGCAGACTGAAAGGTCCCGGGTTCGATTCCGGTCAAGGGCATGTACCTTGGTTGCTGGCACATCCCCAGTGGGGGGTGTGCAGGAGGCAGCTGATTGATGATTCTCTCTCATCAATGTTTCTAACTCTCTATCCCTCTCTCTTCCTCTCTGAAAAAAAAAGAAAAAAAGAATGTTCAACTCAGTATCAACAGAACTGCCGAGGGCTTAAGGACCCCTGGGGGGACTGTTTGGTTCCCATATGTAATCATTCCCTCATGCATTCCTAAATTCCTGACTGCTTAGTGTGCCAGGCATGGTGCTGGGTGCTACAGAGCTCTGGGTAAGAAGAACCAGCTCCTGAGCTCAGGGCTTAGTCTGTGAGGGAGACAGCTCTGAGGAAAAGCAGTGACACAGCAGGTACAATCTGATGGGGGGCTGGGGGGGAACCAATAGGGGGAAGTAGTAGGTCCCAGGCAGTCGGTCCTGTCTAGAATGCTCACTTGACTCCTTGTCACTTAAACCTTGGTTCCTTTCTGAGAATCCCCTCTATGAACTCGTCCCCTTCCCCCATCACTCTCCAGCACATGCGCCTGCTTTATTTTCCTTGACAGCAGGTGTCACCATCTGAAGTTAGCTTCTTTACTCATTGTCTGACTCTCCCCACTCCCCACTATGCACATATTAAAAAATAGGATGTCCTCAGCCACTTCCATGAGGGCAGGTCTTTATCTGTCTCACTCGGGGCTGTCTACTCAGAGCCTGGAGTGGAGCAGTGCCTTGCATGTAGCAGGCACTCCATATATGAATGTTCAGTGTACACATGTTTGAATGTTTGCTACAGAGCAGTCCCTGATCTGGGCAAAAGAGTAAGTGTTTGAATGTTTTCTGCAGCAAATCCCCCAGTGCACTAGGTCCTGGGCTGTGATCTTGTGGAGAGAAACGAGGTAGTAATGCCAGGGAAGCAAATAGTCCTTAATGGAGGAAGGCTTCCTGAGGCCAGCGCTGGGGTGGAGACTGGAGTTCCCATCCAAAGGAACTTGTTGGTAATGCTAACTGGGATAGGCCTAGAACCTGATGTTACCCTGCAAAGCTGGGCCTCTTCCTTCATTCCTCTCTTCCCCACCTTCTCCTTCCCATCTGTTCAACACTTTCTCTGGCAAACACAAAAGGTGAAGGCTGGGGTGACAGTTTCACATCCTTTATCAGATAATCAAGTGACAATTTCCTTCTTGGGTATTGGGCCCAGGAGATACTGGAGAAATGTTAAAAGATTCCTTAGCTGGTTTGGCTCAGTGGATAGAGCATCGGCCTGTGGACTGAAGGGTTCCGGGTTCGATTCCGGTCAAGGGCACATGCCCAGATTGTGAGCTTGATTCCTAGTGAGGGTGGGGGGCGTGCAGGAGGCAGCCAATCAATGATTCTCTCTCATCATTGAACAGTGGCAGTATTATTAATACAAAGAGGTTTATCTGAGGCACAATTATTGCTTAATTGAAAAATATAAAATAGAAAAGGAAAAATGCCTGGCCTGTGTCGCTCAGTGGTTGAGTGTTGACCCATAAACCATGAGGCGCATGCCAGGGCTGCCTCCATGCCCAATAGGGGGCGTGCAGGAGGCAGCCATTAATGATTCTCTCTCACCATTGATGTTCCTCTCTCTGAAAGTAATAAAATAAAATTTTAAAGAAGTATGCGGGGGTTGAGGACAAATATGTGATACCTTCATCAATAAAGAAATTTAAAAAAAATAAAGGAGAAGTATGCAAAGTTCCTAGACCAGAGTTTGGCATGCAGAGCTCACTCACTGGGTAGTGGTCCCCTATCTCCTGGCCTGCTCTGTCTTTCCCTCTCCTAACTCACCGGGGCTAGCTCTACCTCTGCCGTAGCCCCTGCAGCCATCTGTCACCCCCATGAAGTGGGGGTGTAATAAACTAATCTCTTCAGGGCTTCAAGGAGGCTTCCAGCATCTTGGAGGGAGTAACCAAGAGGCTGGCTTTGTAGCAGGGAGAGGAGGAAGGCAGGCTGGTGCTAATCGGATGGGGAGCTAGTGGGCTAGGCCTTCTTGTTTGGCAATGACTGCCCCTCCCCTTTTCCTCACCCCCCTCAAATATAGCCTTTAAAAGGGTAACACTGAAGCATGTCATAAATGCAAGAACGCAGTCACCTTGTAAAAACGGAGATATTAGAGTCATAATTCCATTGTCCTTTGATCCCCCTTCTCCTCCCATTTTACCTTGTTATCGCTGTCATCCTTTTGCTGTTTTCATTTTTGTTACACTGCCCTTTGGTGACATGTCCTCTTTCAGAATGTCCAGATGGTTCCAGTCTGCGATGGCTGGTAAGATGCCGCCCGGCCCTGAGCCCCTCCTAATCAGTCCTATATTAGTTCACAGAGGACTAATGAATTTCTAGAAACCTCTCTAGAAGCTTTCTTTGGACACCTTCTCCCTTCTCTGCAGTTTCACACGTTAAGATTTACAAAAGCCTAGTACATATACCGTCCTGTCCCGTCCCCGCACTCCCTGTGATTGACGAAAGAAACACTCAAACTTGTGGAGAATTTTTATCAGACTTTAATTGAGCCAAAACTAACGACAATTGCTGGGAAGCAAGATCTCAAATGCTCCAGAGAATGACAGTTTTGCAGTTTCTTTTATGCATTTAAAAGTAAGCAGCGAAGCAAGAAAGATTACATAAGGGTAGGGGAAACCAAGGCGGGGATTGGATCACAGGGGCGATTTTCAACCAGTGTGCCTCGGCACTCCTGTGTGCTGCAAGGATTTTTAAAATATGCAACATCTGACTATTTAGTCAAGGGCACTGACCTCTTTCCCTTAGATCAGTGTTTCCCAAACTTCTCTCATGAGAATCACCTGGTGGAGTTGTTAAAATACAGATTCCTGAATCCCAACTAAGAAGTGTTAAACTAGAATTTTTTGAAACATATAGGTAAAATTGTAACTTAGTGCTCTGTCTTAGAGCACATCATCTGTATATATGGTCACTGTCTGTGGCTCATGCAGAGCACACAATGTGAACGAGGTCAATAAATGCCTGCCCTGTGGAGTGAGTAAGAATCCTGTCTGTCCATTTGAACAAGGGCGGCCCTTGAAGGGTCTGCTGCTGAGAGCTTTTTTTTTTTTTTTTTTTTTTTTTTGCTGGGGATGCTTGGCCCTCCCTATGAGAGAAGGCAGGTAGTTCAGTGGTCAGGGCGCAGGCACTGGATTCAGCTCAGCCTCTTACTAGCTATGTGCTATCTCGAGCCAGCGATTGAACCCCTTTGAGCTTTCTTCACCTATAAAATGCAGCAACACCAGTTCCTGCCTCTAGGGCTGTCGTGAGAATGGAGAAGGGGAATGGATTTAGACTTTTATGGGGTTCTAGGTTGAGAGGTTTGAATATTGACTTCGGAAAGGCAAAGGAGGACTCGTCAGCAGCCCTGAAGAATAAATAACCTGGTGGAGGGGTTTTCCGTGTGTGCGGAAACGGCCTGGGGAGCGGGATGCGGTATTATTAGTAAACTCTTCACTTCTCACGAGTTCAAGGCTGCCGCTCGGCGTCCCCTTTGCCCCTCCCACCACCTATCCCTGCGTGCTCCCGAGTTCGATAGCAAATAGCAGACTATGGGAGAAAAGATCAATTGAAACGGCCGCGGAGGGAGCGGACACCCGTCCCTGTGCGGGCGGGGCTGCAGGGCGCGTTTTCCACGCCCACTCTGCGCCGCGGGGCCGCCGATTGGCTCGCGTGCCGTGACGTCACCGCGGGCTTTAAGGGCGCGTCCCCGGGGCCGCGGGGCAGTGCGGGCGCCGGGAGCGGGCGGGCAGTCGGCGTGGCAGTTCGGTGGCCGCCCCGGAGGGTCGCCGCGGAGAGCCGTGGACGGAGGTAAAGGGGCTGGACGGGCCGTGCTGAGACGCGGGCCCCGGGGAGCCGGAGTCAGCGATCCGAGCGAGGCTGGCACAGGGGTGTCGCGGGGCATTGGGGACGGGGTCCCCGTGTAAGGAGGGGGTCGCTGTCAGCCGCCACGAGGGCAGGGGGGAGCGGGCCTCCGACTCCCGTCTCAGCGCCGGCACCCTCTTTTTAATTTTATTAAAAAAATACATTTTATTGATTTTTTTACAGAGAGGAAGGGAGAGAGATAGAGAGCTAGAAACATCGATGAGAGAGACATAGACCAGCTGCCTCCTGCACACCCCCTACTGGGGATGTGCCCGCAACCAAGGTACATGCCCTTGACCGGAATCGAACCCGGGACTCTTCAGTCCGCAGGCAGGCGCTCTATCCACTGAGCAAAACCGGCTTCGGCGGCACCCTAACCCTTAATGTGCGGGCGCTGTCCGACCTGCCCCTTCCCGCGAGGATCATCGCCCGGGGAGTAGGGGTTGCGGCACTAGCGGACCAAGAGGCGCTGGATCCAGGCTCCCCGCCCCCCCTTCAGTGTCCCGGGACCCGGGCTTTATCCAGGTCTCATCGCCCTTGTTAGCGCCCCAGGGAGAGGGGAGCGGCTTTGTTGCACCTGCAGCTGCTTAAGAAAAAAAAAAGAAAAAGAAAAGGGGGATTTTAACCAGGAAGCTGATTCAGGAAAAAGATCAAGGAGTTACACCTTTCGCGTTTGTTGAACCTCTTCTGTCTTCTCTCCCGACCTCTCCTAGTGTAGATAGCCCAGCTGCGGCCTCCGGAGCCTGCGATTGCAAGGCCATCACCCCTGCGCCTCTCCCTTGAGCCCCAAACCCACCCCTCCGCTGGAGCTCGCCATGGGGAACCACCTGACGGAGATGGCGCCCACCCCCTCCTTCCTGCCCCATTTCCAGGCCTTGCACGTCGTGGTCATCGGGCTGGACTCGGCTGGAAAGACCTCCCTCCTCTACCGGCTCAAGTTCAAGGAGTTTGTCCAGAGCGTCCCCACCAAAGGCTTCAACACGGAGAAGATCCGGGTGGCCCTGGGAGGGTCTCGGGGCATCACCTTCCAGGTGTGGGACGTGGGCGGGCAGGAGAAGCTGCGGCCGCTCTGGCGCTCCTACACCCGCCGCACCGACGGGCTGGTGTTCGTGGTGGACGCCGCCGAGGCCGAGCGGCTGGAGGAGGCGAAGGTGGAGCTGCACCGCATCAGCCGGGCCTCTGACAACCAGGGCGTGCCTGTGCTGGTGCTGGCCAACAAGCAGGACCAGCCCGGGGCGCTGAGCTCTGCCGAGGTGGAGAAGAGGCTGGCGGTGCGCGAGCTGGCCGCCGCCACGCTCACCCACGTGCAGGCCTGCAGCGCCGTGGACGGGGTGGGCCTGCAGCCCGGCCTGGAGCGCCTTTACGAGATGATCCTCAAGAGGAAGAAAGCGGCCCGGGGAAGCAAGAAGAGACGGTGACCCCAGGCCGCCCCCTCCTCCCCAGGAGGAGTCTTTACACTCGGACAGCAGGACAGAGCTTGTGGCCCCTCACCCAGCCCCAGGGTGCAGGCCCCGCCCCCTAAATGAAGGACTGAGGCGCACCCGCCCCGCACCGGGCTGGGCTGGGCGTCCTGCCGTGGGGAGGGGATGTGAGATGGTTGTCTGCTCACGTCTCCCCCAGCCTCCCCTCCAGAGATGTGGGGGCTGCAGAGCTGAGGAGGCTTCAGTACAGACTGCAAATCTACCTCGACCTCGTTTCTCGTTATTCTCTGGCTTTTTAATTAGATGTGTGTTTGGGCAAAGGAAAGCCACCCGGAGGAGGCATTTGGTATGGGGTACTGTCTCCCCCTCCCCCAACTGGGAGTCCCCCCCACGCTGCGTTTCTAGGGACGCCACTCATCATGGTCTTGATTTTTGTGTCTGTGTGGAAGTGCCAAGATCCTCTCCCCGCATTTATAGATCCACTGCCATTTTATAAGCTACGTGTGCCCTCTGTAGTAACTATTTTTTAGCATTTGTAAGTTATTAAAGACTGATGATACTGTACCTCTATCTGGCATTTTTTCTCTCCTTAGTCCAACATTTCTATGTGGGTGCGGTTTGGGGGCAGGGTGGGGGTTGGGGGGTGGGTGGGGAGAATAATTTACCTTGAAGTTGAATTTGCCAAGCAAGCACTTTCCTAAATAGAGTTGAGCTGCTCCCCAAGCTGTTGCCTAATCTGCAGGGATTTTTTCTTTTTAAATTTCCAATAAACTTTTTATCATTTCATCTCTTCATATTAGCGCAGGCTTGAGAAACGGCACCTCGAGTTAATTCTGCTTGTCTGGTTACTGTATTTTAAGGAAGTGGTAAGATGGCCAGACTTGCAGGGATTTTTTTTTTTTTTTTTTTTGGTGGTGGTGGTGGGGGTTCCTTCTTCTTTCTCTTGTCTCCCCTACCCTCATCCTGTGGCTCTTACTTGTCCCTGATACCATCTGGTCTTGAAGATTTAACTTCAAGATTTGCTGGTCGGAGCCTGTTCCTAGATTATTCCCCTCGGGAACACATCCTGAGGTCTCTTTAGGTTAGGGGTGTCGAACTCAATCAGAGAAGGGGCCAAAATCTAAAATCCAGCCTAAATCGCGGGCCGAATGGTTTACTGAACAGTCATAAACTGTCATTGTGATGGAAACGCAGCGGAGTGCAGTGATGACAGCGCGGTGCGGGCCACATTGCAAGGCCTGGCGGGACGGATTTGGCCCGCGGGCCTTGTGTTTGACACATGTGCTTTAGGTGAATCCTCAGGGAGCCTTTCTGTCCCCTTCTCCCCTCTCCCCAGCATTCAGGCTGGTCTGGTTTCCCTCCCTTATTCCCCCCTCCCCCGCCCTGGGGGGGCGGCGCCTTGAGAATGGAAAGGAATTCCAGCCTGGCCCAAAGCCACCTTAGGGTGCTCAACCTGCTGACGGTGCTCACCGGCAGCTGCAGTAGCGGCAGGAGCCAGGAAGCCCGGGCTGGATTGAGCCAGCCTGGCTCTGACTAAACCATTAGTGTCCCAGCTCTGGGGCTGGTAGCTATTCCCAGGGGCGGGGCTGTTCGTGCCAGCTGGGCGTGAGGGCTGCTGGGCACCCACCCCGAGCCTCCGGGAGAGGAGGGGGGAGGCCACGAATGTCGGCAGTGATAGGAAGACTAAAATGCTAACAGTGTGAGGCCTGAGTGCCTTTGGCCTTCATGAGGGCCAGCTGTGTCTGAGACAACAGCACAATCAGAACCTCCTAACAGGTGAGAAAAGCGAGGGAAAACCCAGCACGGTTCTCTCCAGCCCCCAGCCCCACAGTCACACTCCCAACCTTGGTGCACACATGGGGTCTCCACAGCAGGCCCCTGCTCCAGAATCAGACAAAAGGACCTGGAGTGGGAGAGAAGGTGCTGGCAACCCTAATCCCCCCAGGAGCCTTCCTAAGGAATTGCTTCTTCCTAGCCAGGCTGGCAGAAGCCTCGTTTTGCTGCTGAGTCTGGCCAGTTTAGATTTGTTCCCCACCCCCCACCCCTCACCCCCGTGGCTGGCAGAAAAGGGGTGAGTGTGCATTGATCCGGAAGGGTGCCCCCGTGCATCAGAGCTGGGGCCTACTTGGCAGAGCTGCTGGGCTGGTTCTGCTGGGGACACGTGCTGCCTGGCCGCCCTCTACCCATGCGTGTGATTCATGGCTGCCAGTCCTCACAACGGTCCCCTTCCCAGCCCAGGGACAGGCTATGGCTAACAGGGTTAGGAGATCCGTGTGGCTCAATCACCGTTTGATTCCCAGTCAAGAGCACATGCCCGGGTTGCAGACTCGATCCCCCATAGGGGGCGTGCAGGAGGCAGCCAACGATTCTCATTATTGATGTTTATCTCTCCCTCTCCTTTCCTCTCTGAAATCAACAAAAATAATATATTTTAAAAAAATCTGTTCTGCTGGGTGCTCTCTCTCCTCCTTACTCCATCCCAAATTTTGCTCTTTTGTCTCAAAATCTCCAAGGACCTGTTTTTTCCATTTCTGGTCACCTGGGGGACCGAGGTCTCCAGATTTGGGAGAAGAATGTATGGATAGGTGCTCCTCCCTCTAGGAAAGGGGCTCGGAGGTGCCAGCTTTTGGTTCTGGCTCTGCCCTCCCTCCCTCTCTGGTTAGGACCATCTTCTCCCTCAGGGCGGGCTCTAGCGTGGGGCCACGGTCCACAGGAGACCGAGAAATATCCCAACTCTTCCCCACAGCCAGCTGGCCTGACCAGTGGGTGGGGGTGGTGCCAGTGAGAGTGAGACGGAGGAGCCGGTGGTTTTGAAGGGGTTGTGGGGAGAAGGCAGCACCGGGAATTCTAATGAGAAAGCCACGTTCTGGCTGGGCGTGGGTGGCGAGCTTCGGAACCATCTTGCCTTGGTCCCTCCTGCCCGTGCATTCTTCCTGTTGAGCGTTTGGGCTGGCGGTTTGGAGTGGGGATAGGCTCAGGGCTGGGGGTGGGTTGTAGGACCCTTGTTTCAGCTTTGATATGAAATAGACTTCCTCTGACTCCCTGAGATGGATGCTGAGGGACGGGCTCCTGAAGGCAGAGGACCTCTGGGGGCCAGGAGTGGTGGGCAGGGGTCGGCTGCCTGGGAGGTGAAGCTGAGGGAAGCCAGTGGGCCCAGATGTGGGCCCCCTTCCGAGCTGCCCTCCCCCACCTCTCCTCCTACAAGGTGCACTGGAAAATCCAGACAGAGGGCACGTTTCCCTGGGGGCCCTGCCCTTCTCTGAGCCCCTCCCCATTAGGGCGAAGATGGCAGTGGTCCCCTCCCCACGCCCTCTCCGATTCTCCTGCCCGCACTTGCGTAGGGAAGAGGAAAGGCAAAGAGGAAGGAAAGGAGTTCCTAAGTCCCAGAGTGAGCATGACGTGCCCAAGGACCCAGGACTCCTTGGTGACACATCCAGATCCTCCCTCCCTCCCTCCCAGGCTCGGACAACAGGGGATAGGAGCTAAGCGCTCCCACCTCCCCTTCCCTCCCTCCTTCCCGCCTTGATTAGACCAAGGGCTGGCTTTCCGGTCCCCTACTCCCCTTCCTGAGGAGTGGCCGCTTTATCTCTAAAGCCCAGGACAGCTCCGGCCTCAAATCTGCCCAGGCGTCCCCACCCTCCTCCTTCCACACTGTCATTCTAAGTCCTCGTGGAGATGGACAGCTTCGCGAGGGCCTGGGGAGCACTGAATTCCACCGGAGCACCGAGGGTGCCCAGGACAGCCTGTTCTCCTGCCCAGGCTGCTCTGGACCGAGGCCAGGGGAGGGAGGGCTGAGTGAAGGCGGGAGGGAGGCCCGGGCCAGCACTGCCTGAGGGTAAGCAGTCTGTAATCACACACATTTCCAAGGCCATCTGCTGGACCCCGGCCAGCCGGGAGGTGGTGGGTGGGAGGGTGGGTGTTTTAGGACCTGCTCCCCCGCTAAGCCAGAGGAGGCTGTTTTTCTTCCTTCCTTTTTCAGATTTTTGTTTGTTTACTTTTCTCCCCCTCCCTCTCCTGCTTACAAAAGTAATAGGTCTTTGTTGGGGAAGCAGTTTAGAAACTTTGAAAATGGATAACCCCGTAATGTAAACTTCAGGGCAAGCTAAACATCTGAACAGGGTCTTACATAGAATTTTCCAGATTTATTTATTTATTTTTTGCATAGATATAAAAGGAATGCATATACAACACACATGGGGTTAGATGCCATATTGTCATACAGTTTTACTTTTCTCTTTTGAAAAACAATTTTTTATTTTTTAAATATCTTTTTATTGATTTTTTTTACAGAGAGGAAGGGAGAGAGATAGTTAGAAACATCCATGAAAGAGAAGCATGGATCAGCTGCCTCCTGCACACCCCCCACTGGGGATGTGCCCACAACCAAGGTGCATGCCCTTGACTGGAACCAAACCTGGGACCCTTCAGTCCGCAGGCTCTATCCAGTGAGCCAAACCAGCTAGCGCTGAAAAACAATTTTTTAAATCCTCACTTGAGGATATGTTTGTTCATTTACTTAGCACTGATTTTAGAGAGTGGAAGGGGGAGAGAGAGAAAAAAACATCCATCTGAGAGAGAATCCTTGCCAACCCAGGTTGAACGGAAAGCTAGGTATGCGCCCTAGCCGGGAAGAGAACCTGCAACCTTTCTGGTGTCAGAACAATGTCCCAACCAACCAAGCCATCTGGCCAGCCCTGCCCCTCCCCGCCTGCCCGGCCCCAAACTATAAGAGAGAGTTTGTTAAGAAAGTCACAGAGGTAGAAGTGAAGTGCAGAAGACATGGGCTCAGGAAACAAGTTCCAGAGGCAAAAGGAGGGGCCCTGGGAGTTTAGGAGGGAAAAGGGTAAAGTCACACGCCTGGGGGCACGGAGGGGACAGGAAAGGCGGGCGGGCGAGCTCCTGAGAGGGAGCCTGCTTTTCTCATTGGGCATTATTCAGTGTCAGGGCAAATGGAGTTTCCTCGTTCTTTTTGATGACCACATGAGCTTCCGTTGTGTGAAGGCGTCGTCATTTATTAATTAAAGCCAGAGTGTTCGCGGTAATGAACTTCCTTGCACATATTTCTTTGTACACTTGGGGGAAGATACCCTTTCAGAGAAATTTCTCGAAGTGGAATGGTTGTCAAAGGGTATGTGTATTTCAAGTTTTGACAGAGATTGCGCAGTTTGTAGAGAGGGTTTGGGTGGGGAGAGAAATTTAATCCAGCCTCCGCATGGCCAGATTTCAAGGGCTCTTCAAACGGAGGGGCCTGTGGGGTGGGCAGACATTCTAGCACTCTCGCTTTTGTGGAGGTAAGGAACAAAACCACCCGCGAGTGGGCGGGAGTGAGCGTGGGCCTGGGGATGGAGCCCCACCGGGGCTGCCTGGCTGCTGGCGGGGGTGGGCAGATGGCGAGGACTCCTAAGCCCCGGGCTTCGCTTCTCGCTTCTCGCAGAAGGCAGGCAGAGTGGGCGAAACGACTCCTAAAATAAATCCCCGGGGCTTGGCTCAGACAGGGCGTCAGGCTGGGACTAGGAGTGCGTGTGTGAAGGGAACATGGGGACAGATCTGGAGCCTGAAGGAGGGCGGCG